GTGACAAGCACATCTACATGATCGATGCCATCATATGCGACAATAATTTCTGAACGTCCATCTTTGTTGAAACTGCCAGCACCAACTACCAATGGAGCGAAATCGAAATCTACACCGTAACTTGCTTGATTTTCAAATGTTCCATTCCCACTTCCCAGAAATGTAACAAGTTTTTTAGTACCATAATTCGTTACAGCTATATCCACTTGACCGTCGTTATTGAAATCATGGATAGCCATCGAGTAAGGATGAGAATTTAAGCCCGTTAAGAGTACTGTTTGGTTTCCAAAAGTGGCAGTCCCATGTCCAAGAAGAATACCTATGTTATCAGTACCATAGTTGGCAACGGTGATATCCAGTAGGCTATCGTTATTGAAATCAAAAACAGCAAAGCTTCGTAAATGAGAACCATTGGCAGATGCAAATGTGATTTTTTCTTTCAGAGCTCCTCTATCATACCGAAGTAGTACACTTATATTGTTGTCATTGATATTAGCAACGACAATATCCTGTCGGGTGTCGTTGTTAAAGTCAGCAACGGCTACAGAGAGTGGGCCAGAGCCAGTTGAATATGTCATTTGATTTGCAAAAGAACCATTACCATATCCAAGAAGGATACTTACATTGTTGCCACCAAAATTAGCAACGACGATATCCAGTTGGGTGTCATGGTTAAAGTCACCAACAGCTACAGAGGTTGGCCAATTGCCAGTTGAATATTTTGTTTGATTTGCAAAAGAGCCATCGCTATATCCGAGAAGGACACTTATAGTATTGTCCTTCGGATTAGCAACGACGATATCCAGATGGGTGTCATTGTTAAAATCACCAACAGCTACAGACTGTGGCCCAGAGCCAGTTGAATATTTCGTTTGATTTGTAAAAGAGCCATTGCCATATCCGAGAAGTACACTTATAGTGTTGTCACCAAAATTAGCGACGACGATATCCAGATGGGTGTCATTGTTAAAATCACCAACAGCTACAGAGTATGGTTCAGAACCAGTTGAATATGTCGTCTGATTTGCAAAAGAACCATTGCCATATCCGAGAAGTACACTTACAGTGTTGTCACCAAAATTAGCGACGACGATATCCAGATGGGTGTCGTTGTTAAAATCACCAACAGCTACAGATCCTGGGTAAGGGCCAGTTGAATATGTCGTTTGCTTTGCAAAAGAGCCATCGCCATATCCGAGAAAGACACTTATAGCTTCGTTCAAATCATTAGCAACGACGATATCCAGTCGGGTGTCGTTATTAAAATCACCAACAGCCAACGATTGTGGGCTAGAGCCAGTTGAATACGTCACTTGATGTGCAAAAGAGCCATTTCCATATCCGAGAAGGACACTTACAGTGTTGTCCAACTGATTAGCGACGACGATATCCAGTTGGGTGTCCTTATTAAAATCACCAACAGCTACAAAGTATGAGTAAAGACCAGTTGAATATGTCCTTTGAATGGGAAAAAACTCGTCATAACCAAGCATGATGCCTATGATGTTCGTGTCACTGTTGATGGCGGCAATGTCTAAACGATTATCTCTGTTTAAATCACCTATGACAATGGAGATTGATGAAGAAGATTCAGTTGAATACATTTGTGGGCTTGCAAAAGTACCGTTACCATATCCGACAAATAGAGCTGTATTGTTAGTACCATTATTGGTGACGACTAAATCCATTCGATTGTCATTGTTGAAGTCACCAATGCCAATAGAATATGGAGAAGCACCGCTGAGGGAATATGTCGTTTGGCTCATGAAATTTCCGTTGCCGTATCCCAGAAACACACCTACATTGTTATTTCCATAGTTGGCGACGGCAACATCTAGCATAGTGTCATCGTTTAAATGACCAACAGCAAGCGAATATGGATGGGAATTTGGACCAGTTGAAAACGTGATTTGATTCGCGAAAGTATTGTTACTAGTTCCAAGTAGTATACCAACATTGTTTGTACCATAATTAGCGATAGCAAGATCCATCTGTTTGTCGTTGTTAAAATCGCCACTGACAACTGCAGACGGAAAAGAATCATAGCCCGTAGAGTACGTGCTTGAGTTTGAGAAGCTTCCATTTCCATATCCATAAAATATGCTTACAGGGTGTGTACCGTAGTTAGCAGTGACAATATCTAATGCTGTGTCATTATTAAGATCTGCTACATGGATCCAAACGGGACGAGATGATCCAACTGAAAGCACTATTTGGCTCTCAAAAGACTCATTTTGGAATCTAAGAAACACACCGACGCTGTTTGTACCGAAATTTGCAATAGCGAGATCCAGTCGATGATCATTGTCGAAATCACCAACAGCAATCATGTACGGAGCAGAGCCAGGAGCGGTGTAATACTTGACTGGGCTTGCCACCGTGCCATCGCCATATCCAAAATATATAGCTACATTGTCGGCAACATAATCGGCAACAACAATATCTAACCAACCATCATTGTTAAAGTCGCCCATGGCGACAGATCGTAGACTACTCTTATAGTCAATTGGATTTGGGGCCGTTGCTTTAAAATTAAGTGCACATTTTGGAACTAAGTAACACATCAACAAAGAAATAAAGACTGATCAGCTACTATGATTGAACTATCCCTAGTGAGTTGTATCTATCTGTATGGGAACCAGTGCTTTTCAGGACAATGTTTTTGAGTCTCATGAAACTCATCACTCAGATTACTCATTGGACGCTCTCTTTTCATTTCCTTGGCAATTCGTTCACAAAGCGTATAGTGACTATCAAACAACAGATATCGCAACTAATATGATTTAAGTAAGGACTACAGACTGATCCTAACCATATGACCATAACTACTATAATCTCTATCTTACAGATTCTTCTATTGACCCAAGGGGGAAAAAGCGGATCCTGGATCCTCGGATCCTGGTGGATCCTACTGGATCCTGGTGGATCCTAGTGGATCCTGGTGGATCCTATTGGATCCTGGTGGATCCTGGTGGATCCTATTGGATCCTGATGGATCCTAATGGATCCTAATGGATCCTAGTGGATCCTGACGGAACCTGATGAATTGTAGAATAAATTATTTCAAGCGTACAGAAACGAGGATGGAAAATTTGATCTTAATGGATATGAGAATTCTTTAAGGTCCAAATAAATTAAGTGAGAAAAGGGAATAGTGACTTCAGAATTTGTAACTAAGTAAAGAGAAAAAAAGATCCAGGATACCGAGATGATTATGTCTTGGTAAATTTTGGCATATCATCATGGATTCTGCGTATTTTTTGGATCCATCAAGATTTACGCTTCCTCGATCGGTTTGATATTATTGTAATACATGATGATTTCTATTGCATTCTAGTTATCTCTGATAAATTGTAATGGATTGTGTTGAATTATAGCCAATGGCGGTAATCTGTGACCGCTTTTGGTACACTTCTAGAAATATATTCTAAAATCTCTTAGGACTCTAGAATCCGCTTTTCTCCGTCAAACTAAGGATGTCAGAACTTAGAGCAACCCTCTACTTTAGTCTTTATCCTGTTTTTCCTTGAGAAAGTGTGAAAGAACATTTTGGGCTCCTGAATCTGAAGATTCATGTCATATTTTATTCAGGATTCCGTTTCCAATTTTAACAATACTGGTTTGCAGGATATTTCAATGTGAAAAAGTATTCTTCTCAGGATCTTTTCAAGTTCCCACTCAGATTTCTTTATTATTTTAACATGATGGACCATACTAGGATTCACTCTTGATCTTACTCAAAACCTTGATAGGGATTACAGAAAGAATATCGCTTAGATTCTATTATAGTTTTAACAGAATTCGTTTGGGATCTCTGCGTCATGGTCCTCTCCTGACTTACAGTTAAATAAGGCAAAGATCTTACAAGGAATTAATAGAAGAGCAATGAAAATCCTCAGGTAGTGGATTCTTCTAAGATTCAATCACGATTCTATCTAATTTTCTTAAGCATTCTTCTTACGAATATCTTTTCTGAACATTTCCAGGGTTGTCTTAGGGTCTCTTCAAGGACAAGGTGTTCGGATCCTTCCTAGAGAAGGTCAAGGATGACCAGGATCTTTCTGAAAGCATATCAAGGTTAGACGAAGATCTTTATCATTTTCATTTAGAGTCTACTAAAGCTTGATCTTGAGGATTGTAACAAGATCTATGACTGATCTGGTTCAGGATTTGAATAAAATTATGAAATGTTTCCACCAAAATCCTTAACAGTTCCTATTTAAGATTCTTCGAATATTTTTGAATCTTTAAATCTGAAAAACTCAAATTGTGCTTGTTAAATAAACTTTTAACAGTAACTATACTAAAATGACAATGAAGAATTTGCAATGTGTTTTGTTCCAGTTCTGACAGGAATGTAGAAGATCAAGAAGGTACCTGAATTTCATTCTAATATTCCTTTGTTTCTATGTGTCAGTGAATGGAAGAATTCTGACAGAATTTTTGAAGATTTCTCGTCAAAGATTTTTAATATTTATCTTCAATATTGCATGACATTTACGGCATGGAACTCAGTTATTTTTTGAATTTTATTTTCATATAAAACTTGCAAACTCATTAAAATGGAGATTTTAATATCAGTTAACTGTTGCACTAACTTTTTCTTAAAAAAACTTTTAGTAAAGGACGAGTACTTCAATAAAACTTGTACTGGATTTTATTTATTCGTGCTAATCAGAAAAATACCTTTTTATTCAAATTGAAATCAACCAGTCATAGTAGAATTTTATGATAAGTAATCAATAGATTAAGTTTATATTGAATTTTTGTTCAAATAACTTATGTTTGCATAAAGTTCAAATACAAGTTAATAGTTCAGAGGGAATTCGAGATACAGAACGTTTGAGTTAAATTAAATAGCATGGTACAGTCTACTGCGGTGAACTAATCAGTTTTTTAACTGAATATATAGAAATCAATAATGTGCGTTCATTTCTCTTTTCTGCTTAGAGAATCCTGCAAAAATTTTGACAATACATCGGATATCATCCTTACAGAATCGAAGTGAAGTTCTGCGAGGTGCAATCAGAAAATATTTTCCAATTAGAAGCCATTGAAATTCTGAGAAGAGCTTGACATAAACTCAATACAAAATGACTCAGAATTTCTCTAAGATTTTGTTCTAATCATAACAGAATCGTGTTTATTTCGTGCCTACACGTTTTTCTGAGGATTTGACCCTCTATTAACATATTTCTTGTTTTAATTGCATTGGTAAACTGCTCAAGATACTGATAGAATCCTGTTATGAACCTTGTCGAGGTCTTGAAATTCCACGGCTACACGGCTTTCTCAAGATTTAGCAGCTTCTTCGACGATATATGATTGGAAAATAGCAATAAACTGTTACAATCTTGATTGAATCTCAATTAAAATTCTGTCGGCATCTTAAAATTTTATGGGTACACACTTTTTTCCGTTTTTCGCATTTTCCCCGGAAAAAATGGTGAACCTGTGCAGCGCCGTTGCTACCTATGTCAGAAATCTAGCTCAAAAAGACTTGAGCTTTTCTCTAGCAAAAATTCAACACTATCTAGTACAATCTTTTGAAATCCAGAAGAATTCAGCAGAAATTAACAAGCATCATACTAATCTGAAACCAATTAGGAACACCTAAATCTTGATGGATCTTATTCTATCGTATAAACCGCAGAACTCATTCAGATACTCAAAAGTTCATCGTGGCCCACCAGGCTCTCAATCTCCGAGATTTCTTTTTTCTTTGTTTTCAAAAATTCTAGGACCAATTCTTCGTCTGTTTACTTTGTTTCCATGTATTATAATGGCTTCGGATGAAGTCCAATAGATCGTGGGATGTCTCAAGGTCCGTTTTTCCTTTGTAAAGTAGACTAGTCATAGTTGTATAAATAGCATATGGGGCTCCCATTGATTCATCCAGAACATATTTTGAATTATGCATCCTTATTTTATGAATCTGGTTGATTTCCTTGCTTTTGTGGCTATTCAGAACATTAATCTATCTTCATAAATGATAATGAGTTCTAATAGATTTTGGTGGATCCTGATGGATCCTAATGGATCCTAATGGATCCTGATGGATCCTAATGGATCCTACTGGATCCTGATGGATCCTAGTGGATCCTGGTGGATCCTAATGGATCCTACTGAATCCTGATGGATCCTAGTGGATCCTGGTGGATCCTATGAATCCTGGCAGATCCTAATGGATCCCAGGATCCACCAGGATCCGCTTTTTCCCCCTTGTATTGGCCTGTCATCGACCACAAATATACCGTAATGGCAAAGATTCTAAAGCATTTCGAAATCAAAATAATGCTAATGACGTTGTATTGCAACAATCCTCTAATTGCGTCATGAATGTTTTGCATCAATAATTAACAGTAATAGTCAGGATAGGGCAAGTTTTTCACCTGTATCTGGGAATATACAATGGAGAGTTCAACGAATTTTTATCAATAGTATTTGCCTGACGAATTGAGTGATTATTCATTTTCGATGTTGCCTATCGAGACCTGTGATTCCCTGTTGTCTGATCATTCTCGTTTGTCATCTTTGGATTCATTTGTTGCTTGATCTAGCTTATCACTGCTATGTAGTCTTTAGGATATTTCGAAAATTTAAACAAAAAAGAAATGCCTTCTTCTTCAGATGGTCAAGTCCTAAGGATTAACTAACCTTTTCAGTACACGATGAACTACTAGGAAATATGAATATAACAGGTATAACTTACAAAAAAACCATTAATGAAGAAAATTAATCAATTAATATTCTGAGGAGTGTCACGTTTACCGTTACTTAGACTTTCACTTACCAAAGTAACAGTAAGTGTTTTTATGATTGAAAAATCTCCTATATAGTAGTAATAAATGCTTAGCATAACCATGGGTTATTTATTGTTGCGTCATAGTCTTCATCATTTATCACTAGTTAGGCAAGTATTAGGTGGTAGCGATTACCACACAACAGTAACTGGTAAGTAATAAGTGCCTTGCATTTGATTAGAGAGCTAAGAAGACGAATCATCGTTAGCTCGTGGTTTCTTAAATTTTGTAGTGTCGTTATTAATTATCGAGAAACAGTCTTTTCAGAGTTCGAACCTCAAGACCACCTATTTCGAAAGGCTATCAATAAAGGATGGAGATCAATAAGAAGACGAATCAGTTTACCTAGATATTTTCAAAACGGGTATATATTTCGATGCAGAGTGAGTCCATGGATCATTTGATGCCACATTCAAACTATTTGGAAAGCGATTCGATGATTTCTGGCGGTCAGATGGCTGTACACTAACAATAACTTTGTGAAAACATTTGTTCGTCTGCCTATAAATAGTCTCATTTGAAAGATTAACAAATTTTGCACAAATTCTTCAATGAATCATCCAGAAATAGTCAACATAAGGTGAATTCATGGTGAACTAATAGTGTTTCTATCGAAGTTTTGCGTACGTCACAAAGGTTCACCCTTCTCAATTTCTTTCAAAAGGGCTTTACGATGGATTTTCCTTTTAAGGATTTGATGCAGTCTTTGATGGACTACACGCTGGCACAATTTTCTTGTGGATATCATAAATATACAGATG